GCACCTAGGTTTGAATCCCAACTCTACACCTCTAACACTTATTACTTGGGTGAACTTGGACAAGTCCCTTAATCTCTTTGAAAAAACAAGCCAGTCTCCCTCGGGAGAGCTGGTGTGGAATAGAATTGTCTACATCTTACACTGCCTGGCCAAGTTGCGTCAGAACCTATCAGACTTGGTGGCTTCTAAAGTTCTTTCCAGTTTTAAATCTATGATCTTATGATTTGCAGCTGGAATTAGAAGACTTCTTCATCTGCTGTCTTCCATGGAGGCAGTTGAGTGGAAAGAGGGCTGAGTTTGGAGTAAGGGGCCCTTGATTCAAATCACTATTCCAAGCTTATTGCCTGTGTGATCTTATTTAAGCATCAACAGGCCTAGAAGTCCACTGTAGACACTATTCCATTTTGAAGTCTTTCTGTGCCTGCTAAGAATTCTGCCCCCAAGCCGCAGAGAATCAGGGAAGGGAGCCTGAAGTTGGCCGGTTGGTGCACTGAGGTACTTTAGGAATGAGAAGCAAGGCCAGGGGGTAAGTCAGTGGGACCCCATTCAATTTTAGAACTCAGAGTACATTATAAGAACTTGAGGGTGACCTTGAACCCTGAAGGTCTGAGTAGTAAGCTACTACTGTAGTAACCTTGGTAGAAGCAATGTGGCATACTGGAAAGAACTGAGATTTTGAGTCAAAGGATATGGTTTCAAATCATGAATGGCTCTGCTACTTAGTACAGCTAGGTGACATTGTAGATAGAGTACTGGTCTTGTGAAAGAAATGGTTATTTCTCTCTTGTATTAATAACTAATTATTGAATCAGAACCCAGATTTTACCCCTTTCCTACTTCCTCATCCAGAAATCAGCATGGAAAAACTTTCTCAGAGACTTACCCAGGCCAAGATCTAATCAGACAAGAAAAGAAATTCTAAGTTTAGGCTAATGGTTGGATTCCTGCTCATTGTAATTACTCAAACAGTCGGGGAAAATATTGATTCTCCCTTTTGTCAGGCAAGTGATAATGGAAATTGATGTCTCTTTGACCAAGATTTGGGTGATGCAAGTTATGTATCCCAAGACCTTCATTGTAATAGCCTAGCCTCTCATTGTAATATTCATTCTCACTGACTCATTAACCAGTCAGAATTGATTGCCACCCTCAGGAACACCTGCTCTTTGAATGGCATATAAACTGTGAGTCCACCACCATGAGGGGTCTTTGGTCTAAAGAGAGATGACCATCCTTTTAATAATAAACATTCTAGCTTTAGTAATAAAATGATTAAATTACCCAGAAACTGTATCTCTCAAACTTTATAAATGTCATACTTGGAATCAGGAATACTTAAGTATGAACCCTGCCCAGACACTTACTAGCTGTGTGACCTTGGGCAAGTCACTTAACCTCTATTGGCCTCATTTTCCTCATCTGTAAATGGGGATAATAATAGCACCTACCTCACAGGATTGTTGTAAGTGTCCAATGAGATAGCATATGTAAGGTACTTTGCAAATATGAAAGTGTTATATGAATGCTAGTTACTACTATTACTACTACTATAACTACAGCTACAACTACTACTACCACCACCACCACCACCACTACTACTACTACCACTACTACTACTACTACTACTACTACTACTACTACTACTACTACTACTACTACCACCATCACCACCACCACCACCACCACCATCACCACCACCAACTTGTGACTTTGGGCAAATCACACTCTGTACCTCTATTTTTTCATCAGTAAAATGAAGGGGTTCAACTAGATGATCTCTGTGGGCCTTGTCACTCTAAATGCATGATCCTATATGACCCTTATTAAGGGACAATCTTCCAGTCTGCTCATGGGACCCTATTATTCCCATTCGTATGAACACATGTGTGTTTACTGCTTTGAGAAAAGGAGAGAATATGAGAGGTCAACTCATCCTCCATGGGATGTGGCCTCAGTGTTTTATGCTTTTTCTCAGGACCCAGCAATTGTGATGCTTCCATTCTGTCCAGCAGCTCATTTAATTAAGCAGGTTGGAACATGAACCAGGATGTTCATGGAGGCGCAAAAGGAGAGGATAGGAAGCTCATTTCACCTCTCAGAAAAGAGCATGGAATTAAGGTGGACATTAAAACTATGCCTCCAGCAGGCAATATGGTCTAGTGAACTAACTCCCAGATTCCTGAGAGTCCTGAGTCCATGGACATCCTGTTTGAGTGACCTTCAAATAAATTATTTTGTCTTATATCTCCTCTGTAAGCATGATATAACCACTTGCTATCTCACTCTAACATGTAGTGGTAGTATATGATTTAAAATGCTAAGAAATTTCAAGAACAAAATGTTCAGTAGAAACATATTTCCCTCATGGAAGGGAAGCTTGGCCTCTTTTGTGCCAGACACTAAATATACTACCCATAAATTTGACCTCCTTGAGGTCACGATAGGAATATGGGTAACAAAGGAAGAAAATGGGGTCAGTGATGTTGGTTCTACAATCCCTCAGCACAATGTTCAGCTGAAATTTAGTCTGCATTGGCTTTATTTAAGGGTTTGAACATGGTACAATAGAAGGAATATTGGCTCTAAAGTCTGAGGATCTATTTTCAAATAACATCTCTGATGCTTGCTACCTGAGTGACCTTGAGCAAATCACTTAACTCCATGGACCTTGGTTTCTCACCTATAAAATGAGATGGTTGGACTAGATAACTCAGAGGTCCTTTCCAGTTCTACATCTATGATTCTATGAAACCTACTGTGAGACTGTGTCTGGGTCACTGCCATTTAGAAAAGAAAACATGAAGGCTTCTGTGCCTCAGGGCATTAGGTGAAGGCCTGACCTCTGCGTTCAATACCTACTAATCACTCTTGCAGAAGATGCTTTTTATGTAATGAATGAAAGCAGATGTTCTCTACCCTAAATTTCCATTTTCCTCTTCCTCTAATCTCTGGTAATGCCCTTCATAATTATCTCTTTTAAACATAAGTCCTCATTTCAGAAAAATCTGGAAAGACTTCCATGAACTGATGCTGAGTGAAGTGAGCAGAACCAGGAGAACACTGTACACAGTAACAGCAACATGGTGTGATGATCAACTTTGATAGACTTAACTCTTCTCAGCAATACAATGATCTTAGACAATTCCAAAAGACTCATGAACGAAAATGCCAGAAAAAAAGCTATGGAGTCTGAATGCAGATTGAAGCATACTATTTTCACTTTTTTATTTTTTGTTTTTTCTTTCTTGTGGTTTTTCCCTTTTTGTTCTGATTCTTCTTTCACAACATGACTAATGCAGAAATACGTTTAATATGATTGTACATGTACAACCTATAGCAGATTGCTTGCCATCTTGGGGAAGGGGGAGGGGAAAGAGGCAGGGAAAAATTTGGAATTCAAAATCTTATAAAAATGAATGTTGAAAACTATCTTTACATGTAATTGGGAAGAATACTAGTAAGTGGAAAAATAAAAAATTTAAATCTAAGTAAATAAATAAATAATGTCTGCAGAATGTTTACAGATTGGAATCATGGATGTGGAACCGTGCCAAAGTCTGAATTCAGCATCCATCAGCAAGCAGAGCCACCATCCTGCCCAGAGGGGACAAAATATCATAGGAAGTCACTGTTTTCCATAATTCTTGCTGCCATAAAGAAAGACGTATAAACTGATCTAATTGATGGCTGTGATGCTGTTACATGTCCAAAGATAATATGATACAATTTACTTCATTCAATAGAGAACTGGCACTAGAAGCCAAGGAACTGAGTTCCAACCCCATTGCTGATGCCAAATACCTGCATCACGTTGAGCGAGTCACTAAACTTCCTAGGACCTCAGTCTCCTCATCTGTAAAATGAAGATTTTGGACTACATGGCCTCTGAGGTTCCTTGTGACTCTAGAGCTACAACCTTATGATCAATTCAACTCAACAAGCATTTATTTGGCACCTACTACATTCCATGCCCCAAGCTAGGTGCTAATACACATCATAGCAATTGGGCCTGCAAGTTTATTTCCCTCTGCAGTCATGCAAGCACTTAAGGAGGTGGATGTTATTGAATGTAACAGAAAATTGAGAACACAGTGTAACCTTTTGAGGGATTGAGTTTATGGAGGGAAGTCTACATCTGGGTTTCTTTCATAAACTTTCATTCTAAGCCTGTGAAGGGAAGGAAGATATAGAGATGCTAGAGAAAAAAATATTTCCACAAAGTACATTCAGTTCAAGGTCAACTGTATTAATGGCATAGGGGTAGAGGAAGTTGGGGATGAGTTTATGTGGCAAGAATAGCACAAGAGGTATGCAAAAAAACCAGATAATCCAACAGTTAATATAATTCAATATATTTCGCTTGAAACCCTAGTCAGAGACAAAAATTCAGTTAAAGAGATGAACATTCTCGTTGGGTCAAGAAGCTCTTTCTCCCTTGCCCTGCTATTGGTCAGCCAGGAAGGAACAGATGGACAAGATGGGAGATGGGTGGTGAAAAGCAGACTTAGGTGGCAGAAAATAACCCGAAAAGGAGAGAAGCTCACACAATTTTAGATGCGGAAGGGACCTCAGAGATTAGAAAAATCAAATTAGATCATGCCTGTATAGCACTTTGCAAACATGAAAGTGCTATGTAAATGGTAGCAATGATTATTTATCCGATCCTCTCATTTTATAGATGAGAAAATTGAGGCTCAGAGAATTTAAGTGAAAGAGTGCCAGAGCTGGGACTGGAATATGGACTTTCAAAGTCTCAGTTTAGAGTTCAGACAATCTCTGTATAGCTGAGAGTTGACCTTAGGCAACCAGCTGTCTTCAAGCTATGGGGCTTCCCTCCTATTTTGATGGAGGCAAGAATCGCTCAGGATTTCAGAACCTTTGGACAGGCTGTGGTCCTAAACCATCACCCACTAAGCTCTGACCCCGATTTTCCAATTGAACCCTCTTGGCAAGTTCTACTTGTTAGCCTCCCAACACTCAATCATCCTCCAGAGCCTTACCAGACATCATCTCACCACCATATCCCTGCTTGACCAGGGAGAAGACTGTCTTTTGCTGGAGTGCACAATCAATGAATGCCTGAACCGCTTGCTGCAAGACTGCTGAGGGCCTCTCAGGCCCAAAGTGCTCCGGGAGCTGTTGTACCTTCTTCCTCTCCAGGTATGGCCCCAAGTTGGCTTGTTTGTTGACATAAATGCAAACTGCAGAGACAAACACCCACCACCAAGTGCTTATTATGGAACACTGGGGATCGGCTCATGTTGAGGGTCTCTCCAAATCTTCTCTCTTGGCTTTGGAAGTATCATTGACAATTCTGGAATGGGGAATTTTCTTGAACGAGCAAAAGTGTCAAGCCCTGCAAAGCACTAGGGCAAGCCCCCCAACATTAACTTCCCAAGTAGAATGATAGAGGGATAAGTATAACTGATATTGTTGTCAACCGTTCCACAAAGCTGAAACTTTAGCCTCAGGGGCTTTACATCACAGAGTTCAGTGGCTGGGACCATACTGGAATCCAACAACCTGACCCTGCTTATTAATTCACTAGTGATGATGGTCCTAAGCCTCTAATATTTAAAAGGTTTTGGTGGTTTTTCCTACTGTGTGTGCAAATAGATACACGTTTCCTTCTTTCCTCTCCTCCCCTTCTCCCCGGCCAAAAGTAAAGTGGCTCCTTTTTGATGACTTTTTATTTCTTAAAAAGAGATTTTGAGGTCACCTCTAAATGTCCCACAAATATTGTCACAAACAAATATCCACAGAGACCTGTCTAGTAAAAATACTATTCACTCATAAATTCAAAGGAAAGGTATGCTCACTTGCTCTTCCTGGTCCTCTATGTAACTGAGGGGGGACTTCAGGAGGATGACAGCCACAATCCTGAAAAGGATTTAGGAGAATAAAAGCCATTTGGGGGCAGGGCCATTTTTCGTTTTTGACTTTGTGTCCTCAATACCTGGCACACAGTTGGAACTTAATAAATCCTTATTAGATCGGGCATATAAGGTATAGTTTTTCCATCTTCCCCAGGAAACAAAAAAGAAAATTAATCAGTGGGCCATACACCAGAACCTGGATTTGGATTTTATTCTGACATACCGTACAAAGTTTATTCACTATACCCTGTTTGCCATTGAGGTATAACTACTGCCCAAGCAATCCCTGCTGTACTATTTGTAACGACTGGGGTGGGGGGCAGAGTTTCTTGGAATCATGGGCTAGAAAAAGACAATGGAGCAAAGTTTTGCCCCAGGAACTGAAATTCATTCACCTTCCACTCGATAAGCATTTATTAAACATCTGCTATATGCCAGACTGTGCTAACTTCTAGGGGATGATAACATCATTGAGGTCATGCTAGCCCTGTACATATAACTGATAGATTTGGCAGGTAATCTTTAAGAAATATGTCTGAAGTAAAATGGTATTATTTGCCTTATGGGGAGAAGGAAATAGTGAGTTAGCAGGGAGGAATGTAGTAGGGATAGGGTGATGGTGATGGTGGGAAGGATTGTCTTTTTGAGGAGATTTTCAAGAAGTATTTGCTCCTCTGGAAGGAACAAATAACAATGTCCAACCACACAAATACATGAAGGATCTGATGATCTGTGATCTGCTTAATATGATAATGAGGAGTTACCAGTACGGAAATTCTCTCTATCAATTAATGGATCAACAACTGTTCTGTGACTATTAAGTCCTCAGATATTGCTTGAGGCCTAAAAAGGTTAATTGGTTTGCCCATGGTCACACAACCAGTAAGTGTCAAAGGCAAGATTTAAGCTCAGGTCTTCCTGGCTTCAAAACAGTATTCTAACCATTGTACCATTCTGCCTAATTTTCCAATATCTATCTGTCTATTTATCTATCTATCTATCTATCTATCTATCTATCTATCTACCTACCTACCTAATTAGAAGGTAGACACTATTAAAGACTTGGAGAGAACAGATGACTATGCTTCTCTTTTCTCCTTCCACCCCTCCCCATTCATCACCTAGGACAGAGCCTTTGTACTCAGCCTATGTTCAATGAACGTCTGGGGGATAAATCACTTCAGTGTTCAATGCAGCGTGTGGAGGAACAAGAATTAGAACCTCTTCCATTCAGGGATTCTAGGAGTCAGCACTGAAACTATCTGATTATGTGCCAAGGAAGAATATAAAATTATATCATCCTGCCCCTCACTATAACATGGCATGCTTGGGATAATGGATGCATATTTTATATATTTTTCTGTACCCTTCACCTTGGTGAGCCTGAGATAAGAGCCTCACTAGCTTTTCCTTTACTGAAGCTCTAGCATTGGCAACAGCTGTCTCAAACTGGATGTATTCCTCTTATTTTTAAAAATTAAAGTGTTATTGATGTCTTTTGCTTTTATATCACAGTCATTTCCAGATACAGCATTCCCCACCTTCCCCGCCAATAAATCTTCCCTTGTGACAAAGAAAAAGTCAAGTAAAACTAACCAACACAGCAATTTTGTCTGACAGAGTATTCAACATTCTGTACCCATGGTTACCCACATCTCCAAAGAAAAGAGATATTATTTTTAAAATTAAGAGTGAACCTTCTCTACAGAACCCGATGGGCATGTGTTCACTTCATTCTCCATTCCCTTAACTTACCATCCAGCAGATGCTCTAATAAAGAAATGCACCCAGAGGCTGAGAGACAGAAGTTTCCTGTGACTAGGCAGAGCACTTCACCTTAACCAAGGCAGAAGCCACCTGTACTGATTTTGAGTTAAATGGAGACCCTTGAAGCATCTTTGAGCTTGAAAGAGGGGACTGAAATCAGGACCAGATGAAAGATTCTGTTCTTGAAATTAGCATCTGAGCTTATAACAGCCCCACAGCAGAGGATGGGCAGTGGGTGGGATAAAGGTAGTAAGAATTCCATGATTGGACTCCTGCCAACAATACTGTAAAAAAAAAAAGTTTAGACAGAAAGCACTCTAGTCAATCTATTCATTACAGACAGTTTACCAGTAGAGGATACTGCTGAAATGAAAGTCAAGAATGGGAACTGGTTCTTTGAAAGGGACCTCACATAATTCTTTGAACACAGTATAGGGACAACAAGTTCAAGAAGTAGGAAGGGAGAAGGAAAAGAGAGAGAAGAGGGAGAATGACAGGGAGAGGTGGTCCTGTACACACCCTAGAGTGTAAGCATCTAGAGAGAATTATAATTCTCCTAGGGTGGCACAACTAGGGGAGGGTAGATGAAGTTTTGCTCCAGGGTGTGGATTTATAGGGTGCTGAAGAAACTGAAGAATTTTGCAACATATTAGAAAAAAGAATTAACTAAAACAGTGAGCTACCATATAGTCTATTTCTTCATGGTCCCCACCCAAAGGGAGCATGATTTCTTAGCTTGCAGGCATGATTTTGTGCTACTTACCCTAGATGCAGTATATGCTACCCCAGTACAAAAATTACTAGTTAAAGTTTCTAGAATTAAATATTTTGAGCTGAAATAGACCTCAGAGACCATCAGGTCCAAAATTCTAATTTTACAGATAAGGAAGCTGAGACCCAGAGAAGTTAAGTGATTTGTGAGGAGTCACACAGCTAGTAAATATCTGATGTGGGATTTGAACCCATGTCTTTTGAACTAAAAGTCCATTATTATATCTATTACACAACCCCACTTCTTTTCGTTATGGTCTACACTACATTGCTATTCTATTTTTTTAAAGTAGCATTGTAGCAAAAATTGTTTTTCAGTCATTTTCAGTCACAACTGACTCTTTGTGACTCCATTTGGGGTTTTCTTGGCAAAGATACTTAAGTGTTTTACCATTTCCTTCCCTAGCTCATTTTACAGGTGAGGAAACTGAGGCAAACAGGATCAAGTGACTTGACCAGGGTCACACAGCTAGTAAGTGTCTGAGGTCAGATTTGAATTCAGGAAGATGAGTCTTCCTGACTCCAAGCCTGGCACTCTATTCATTGTACTACATAGATGCCCTGTGTTTAAAAAAATTGTTGTTTAGTTGTATCTGACTCTTTCTGACTCCATTTCAAGTTTTCTTGGCAAAGATGCTGGGATGGTTTGCCATTTCCTTCTCTGGAGCATTAAGGGAAACAGATGTGAAGTGGCTTGCCCAGGGTAATGTAGCTAGTAAGTGGCTGAGGCTGTATTTGAACTCAGGTCTTCCTGACTCCAGGCCCAGTGCACTATCTATTGAGCCAGTGACCTATCTCAAGTGAAGGCTTATCTGTCTGTAACCACTAGAAAGAGCCAGAGGTTGACTCAGCAACAGAACATAGCTTTAGATATCTTCTTAAGAAAAATGGTGATGAGGTAGATACATTGCCAACTTAGAGTCAGGAAGACCTGAGTTCAAACCTAGCTTCAAACACTTACTAGCTATGTGATCCTGAGCAATTAACTGTCTGTTTTAAACAGTTTACTCATCCATAAAATCCATAAGCCATAAGCCATAAAACTCCCAGGGTTGTTGTGAGGATCAAAAAAGATAATATTTGTATAGTGCTTTACAAACCTTAAAGAGCTATAAAATACCAGTTATTATTATTCACTGCTAGCCTTGTGCAGCAAGTACTGTCAGACTCCCATGGTAGAAGACAAGAAAATGAAAGCCATCTCTGTACCTAGAAGGTTTCTGGCAGGTTTGAGCATATGCCTCAAGGAACCTAGGAGCACCCACCAGTTTTCAGTGGCTTATGAAGAATATAGTTAATATGTATGATGAATTAATGAAGACTGAAGTGAGCAAAACTGAAACAATCTATACTGTAACAAAATTCCAAAAATGATCAACTTTGAAAGACTTAAGAACTCTAATCAATACAATGATCAAACAAGGATTCCAAGAGACCAATAATAAAGAATGCTCCCTACCTCCTAAAGATGCAAAATAAGACATGTACTTTTAGACAGGGACAATATCAGAATTGGTTCTGCTAGACCATTCATATTTGGTTCAAAGATTTTATTTTTTTGCCTAGTGGGAGGTGGGAAGGAGACAACATTCTTTTTAGTTGAAAAAAAAAGTTATTAAACAAAAGAATGGGATTGATCACATAAATTACCTGATATTTCCTTATCTTTGAGAAGATTGGCAAAAAAAAAAAATCAGAAAAAGACCTGAAATTGTCCAATAGCAACAACTTCTTTCTAACTTAGAGTTTACAGAATCACAGATTTCAAGTTGGAAGAATCTCAGAGACAATCTAATCAAATCCCTACATTTCAGGAGGGTAGTAAACACCTGAGGCAGGATTTGAACCCAGGTCCTATGTCTCCAGAAGCTAAACTCTTTCCACTGTATCATGCTGCCTCCTTGTCTCAGGTGCCTGGGGCACTTTGGGATTAAATATCTTGCCTATGATCATGCATCTAGTATGAATCCTAGACACAGGAACTGACTCCAGATCCACTTGATTCCAAAGTTGACTCAATGACCATTATGTACCATTACTTTTCTCTAAGGCCATAGAATAAATCTGTCTTACATATTGTTTTGTAAACTTCCATCTCTGAAGGGCCACCTGTAAGCAAAAAATGTGAAGTTGATAAGATGTCATAATGGCTACAAGCCTTCTGTTTCCATGCTCTTTTTTCCTTTGCTGTTTTTCTCTCCTTTTATCTAACCCTCACAGGAATTATTGTTTCCAACAAATACTCCTGTTTTGAAGAGAACAATCTGAGAAGTTTACACCAAGCTACTGATGAAAGGACTCTCTATCCCATAAAAACTGCTGGGGAAACTGAAAAACAGCTTGGCAGAAAATTGGTTTAGTACAGCATCTAGCACCATGTGCCATTAAATTAACTTCCAAGTGTTTAAGTGACCTAAATAAAGAGTATTCCTCAATTAGCTATATTTCTTTGATGCTTATTTGATTTTGTAAATTGTGAACAATATATTTTTAATTTTAATTTTGTTTTCTGGCAGACACCTTCTCAGACCAGCGAATTGGTAGAGAACGTTCCCTTGCTTGACCACCTCAGTCACCTGATTTACATGCATTAGACTTCTTTTGTGGGGTCACGTCAAAACTGTGCATCAAAATATCTTTCTTTCGATAATCTTAAAGTTTAGGCTACTGATGCAATTGTTTCAGTCACTGAACAGCAACTGAAGAAAGTTTTTACAAAGTTCAAAAATTAATTAGCGCAACATATGGCACAAAATAGTGGTTATGGTGAATTTGAATAAGAAACATTAATACCTAAAAATTGAAACAACTTTTGAAGGTGTTTTTTTTGTATGTAGTCTTTAGACTTCTGCAGTTCTTAAAGTTTAAAATGCACTAAGACTTTTTTGGGGGGGACGTTCTGTATAGACAGTCACAACCTTATTCTTTCTGTCTGCCTTTCTTTTTTTCTTAAAGAGAACATACTTTTCACAACTATGACAAGCAGAATAATTATTATTCAAAGGAAGTATAGAGGTTCTCTTAAAAGGGAAGATAAACAATTTTGACTAACAAAAGTTAAAAAGCTTTTGCACAAATAAAACCAATACAGCTTTGTATAAAATGTTATTCATAAAACTCTGGTCTCCAAGATATATAAGGAATTAACACAAATATGTAAAGTCAAGAACCAATAGATAAGTAGTCAAAACATACGAACAGGTTTTTGCAAACTATGAAAGAGTGATCCAAATCACTAGTAAAGAAATGCAAATTAAATCAACTTTGATAGTTTACCTCACATTCATCAAACTGTAAATGACATATGTTGAAGATAGACAAGCTAATACACTGTTAGTGAAGCTGTGATTTGGACAACAGTTTGGAATTGAGGAAAATGGCCAGATTGTTCATCCACTTTGACCCAAAGTTCCTGCTATTGAGCAGATACCCCAACAACAAAATATTCATAGCGCCACTTTCTGTAATAGCAAAGAATTGGAAATAAAATAGATGTCTATTAATTAAAGAGTGGCTTAAACAAACATAAATGTGATGGAAAATTATTGAACTGTAAGAAATGATGAATATGAGTAATTTAGAGAAACATGGGAAGATACATATTAACTTCAGAGTGAAGTAATCAGAAACAAGGGAACAATATACCCAGTAGCTACAATAATGTAAATTAAAATAACACTAAAATTAAGCCTAATCTGATAATTATAATGGCCAATTATATAGCTATATGCAGTTTTAAATGATCAGTCTTATCACTAGAGAAGAAATGAGAAAGCATCTTCCTTCTCTCAAGGCAAAAAAGTGGGACATTACAGGTACAGAATGCTACATACACAGTCAGAAGTGTTCACTGTGTCAGTAGGATTTGCTTCACTATCTTTGTTTCACAGGAAGTATAATTCTGGGGTTTGGGTGAGGAGGAGGACAAAGTAGTATATCTGGAAATGACTGTGATATTAATACAAAAGGCATCAATAATTTTTGTTTACAAAAGGGAAGAAACACTAAGGTCTTAGGAATGTGTATTTATGCATTACTAAGCCTGTTTTCAGGTTTTAAAAGATTAATACAAAATAATTCCTGCTAATAGAATTTTCAGCATTAATGGGGGAGATATTTGGGAGTAGGGTGTTCTTAGATAATATTACTTTATAGGTTCATGAGATAATAATAGATTAAAAGCCAGAAAGGACCTCAGAGGCCATTTGGTCTAAATCCCTCATTTTGCACATATGAAAATTCAGGTTAAGTGACTTGGCTAAGGTCATACTGGTAGAAAGAATCAAAGGCAAGATTTGAACCTAGTCCTATGACTCCAAAAGGAGAGTTCTTTCCAGTACACCATGTAGTTTCCCAAGCCCTGTTACCATTCATTTTTTTCAACCTTGCCTCTCCCTAACATCTAACACATAGAAGACGTTTAATAGATGCATGCATTCATGCACAAATGAATGAGTGACTGACTGAATTGGGTCACTTCATATTTATGTTTGACCTCTTTTTATAAAACTTGTTTTCATGTGAAATCTATCCTGTTTAGAGTACCTCCAACTTCAGGACTGGTGGCAGGGAGATGGGTTTGTAAAAAGAAACAATACTAGGAAATTAAAAATATGAATGTACATAAGATGACATTGATGTTTTAATGATGAACCTTCTTAGTATTGGGTCAACACAAGTCTGACGGCAAAGAAGCAAAACAGGGCTTTCTTTCCATGCTCCTGCCTACCTCCCTTCCCCCATTAATGCGTTAAGCTGGGCCATCTTGTCCACTGAAAATTCAAAACAGAATGTTCCAAACCGCAACAAGACATCAGAGCTCGACCTTTCTGGTCGTTATAGATTTCACTTGGCTGACAGAGATAACTAACTCATCAGTCACATAGATCTCCAAAGATGCTCGTGGAGCAAACAGTCGTTAGTCAATTAACTACCTCCCTGCCCTCCAACGCACGCGTTTGTGTTAAGTTCAGCGGACGTACCTGTGAGCCCCTGAGCTGCTGCTGCGGAGCTGGGTATGGTGGCTGCATCCTGGGGGATGGAGCTGACATCTGGCTCCGGTGTGCTCCTCGGAGGAGAGATTGCTAAAGGAGTCATTAGAACACGAGACTTCAGCTGCAAGATATAACCAATTTGGTGAATGAAAACCTAGAGGGCATCTTTTCCTTGTCTCCCTGAATACTTCCCTGTCTTTAGTTAGCAAATTCTAGTGTATCCCCCTTCTTTCCTTTCCTCTCCCCTCCACGGTGTGTGAAGGACCGCAGAGGGTCTTTGCCGGATGCGTCCTGAGGGCAGGGGTAGACCTGTGTGTGAAGCGGGATTTTGTATCAACAGGGATAAGATAACCCAATGGGATCTGTAGGGCCCAAGACCACAGCAAGGATCCAGACTATGATAGGCATGGTCAGCTTTTGTGTACATCATACGGGATCATAGAATCTGAGTCAGAAAGCAGCCAACTAGTCCAGCCTTGACCTGAGCTAGATCCCTCTCTACAAACAAGAATAATCAGCATGAATATGGCATTTTAAGGTTTGCAAAGTGCTTTACATACGTTATCTCATTTGATCCTTACAAGAACTCCATGAGGCAGATGTTGTTATTTTCCCCATTTTTATAGATGAGGAAACTGACATTAGGAGAGGTCAACTGATATGCCTGGGGTCACACAGCTAGTAAGCGTGTGAGTCAGGATTTGAATTCAGATCTTTTCCATTCCAAGTTCAGCCCTCTTTTCACTGTCACCTCCAATTTTTGGTTAAAGGCTTCCAAGGTGGGGGCACCCACTTGGCTTCCACTGTACTTTTGGACAGCTTTTATTATTAGAAATTTTGTCCTTACATTAAGTCTAAATTTATGCAATTTCTACCCATCGCTGCTGCTAGTGTTGCCATTTAGGACAAGTAGAACTCATCTAATTCCTCCTGCATTCATGTTTCCCCTAAGTCTTTTATTCTCCAGATTATACGTCCTCAGTCCCTTTAACCAACCCTCACATGGAAAAGCTTAAGGCTCTTCACCAACTTGGTAATCTCACTGTGGATGCCCTCTGTCCTTCCTAAAATGTGGGCACAGAACTGAACACATTTCTCCAGATGTGGGCTGAGCAGGGCCAAGTAGTTATTTTTGAAAGCCATGCTTGTCTTCAAAGCAGACTAAGATTATATTAGCTTTCTTGGATGCCATAGAACACTATTGACTCATATTAATTAAGCTTATAGCTTGCTCAGACTCTCAGATCTTTTTCAGACGAACTGATGTCTAGTCATGCCTGCCCCATCTTGTACATATAAAACTGATTTTTCAGACCTAAGTTTTATGACATTATAAAGGGTGTCCCAAAAGTCTTAGTGTAGCTTTAAACTTTAATAGCTTAAAACCGCACTAAGACTTTCAGGACATTGTATATATAGGCAGCTAGGTGGCACAGTGGAGAAATCGCTGGGCCCAGAGTTAGGAATCCCCGAATCCAAATCCATCAGGTACTTAACTAGCTGTGTAAGTCACTTAACCTGTCTGCCTCAGTAAAATGGGGAAAACAATAGCACCCACCTCCCAGGGTGATTGTGAGGATCAAATGAGAATATTTTTAAAGTGCTTAGCACAGTGCCTGGCACATAATAGGTACATGTTCCCTTCCTTCCCATGCATCCCCTGTCATCTTATTAAGATAAGGTCAATATTCTAGGCTGTCAAGATCTTTTGAAATGTTAACTGTTATCCAGTTAGCCATTCTTCCCAGCTCTATGTCATCTGCAAGTTTGACAAGCATTTCATCTATGTCCTTATCTAAGTCATTGACTTAAAACAAATGTTAAATGACAGAGGACCAGGCACAGATCCATGGGGTATTCCACTCAAGAACTTCCAAGTTGGTATATAGTTCCATAGTTCTAGTCATTCAAACAGTTCCAAGTCTGCCTAACTGAACTATCATCTAGCCCACAGATCACTATCTTTTCCACAGTAGCATGAGAGACTTGATGAAATTCTTTGCTAAAATCTCAGTAAACTGAAACTATAGCATTCCTCAAATGTCAGTCTAGACACCCCATAAAAAAGGAAATAGGGTTAAAGGACCTTGGTCCTTTGAGATCACAGCTTCCTTTCCTGGCTAGCCATGAACTACCTCCTTAATAGGGCATTTTAGAATTTTTCAATGAATCAAAGTGAAAATCACTGACATTGTTTATAAGTACCACCCTATTCGACCTCTTGAAGATCGGGAAAACATTTGTGTTTCTTCAATCCTGCAGTATCTTTCTCCTCTCTGTGGAACTTCAGAGGTCCCTGACAATGGCTTGGTAATCATAACTGCCAATTCTTTCAGTGCCTGAGGTTATAGTACTTCTGGGCCAGGTAATTTGAATTCAACAAATTTATTATCTCCTTATTTATCTGGAGGATAAATGAAGGAAGGTACACAATTCCAGGTGCCTGTCTAAGGCTTCCCAGTACATTGGTGATGACCTAAGTAGTAGACAGCAATGGAGTAGGAGTTAAGAATCTAAGTTCTCATCCCGGTTCTAGCACTTGCTAAGTGACAAGTCACCTTCCATTTCTGACCCTTGGTTTCCTCATTTGTAAAATGAGAAGTTTGATTAGATGATCTTCAAGGTCCTATCAGGCTTGAGCAATCTATAGTGTCATCCAAAGCCTGCAGTCACCAAAAGCAATCATGGCCCTGGCTTCATATAGATTAATCTGTAAGTCCTCAATTACAGAGGACCACTGTGGACCTTTAGTGCCATGCTCTCCATATCTTTGGTGACTATCTATCTCTTTCCTGATAAAGGAGGCATGGTACAATCGAAAGAACACTGGCTTTAGAGTCAGGTGGTCTGGGTTCAAATCCCACTTCTGACTCCTGTGTCACTCCAGGCAATTTACTTAACCTCCCTACGCCTCAGTTTACTCACCTGTAAAATGAGAAGATTGAACTAGGGGGTCTCTGAGGTCCCATCTCACTCTTGAGCTATGATCCAACTGTAAAAATATAGATAGGAACCATTTCCCAGAGGGAGAGACTTACTGTCCTGTGGCTAGTTCTGGCAATCCAGGCTACTAGGATTAGCCATTTGTCATGACATATGTATGTTCTGTGATAAGAAGAGGCCAGCCTCCATATCTTGCTTGGAACCTTAAACATGGAACAGAAAATTTATTCTTACAGTGCTAGGGGGCTGTTATTCAGGATGATTTATCAGCAAGCTCTGTGCACCAAGGTTACAAGGATTGAAAATCTTTTCTGTTAGAAATTACTCTCTGTTAGTAATCTAATACAATGTAAACTCTTTGAGGTCAGGGACGTTTTCATTCTTGTCGTTGTAACTCCAAACCTAGCACATAAGTAAGTGCTTAATAAAAGCTCATTGGACTTAAATATTTGTAGAAGCTCAAAGACTCAATGCTCATCTTTTATCCTCCACATAATATTGCTGCCTTGAGGTCAAACCAGTCTTTACTGTGCCTCCTATCTCAGATGTTTGAAAACAAGATTAATGATTAAGAATTAGCATTACTTTGTGGTACATGAGGTAAGGGGACTTTTTTCAACGCAGTAATGACTGTGCTGTAAGAAATGATGAATACAGGGTAGTGTGAGAAGATTTATATAAATTGTTGCAGAGTAAAGTAACTAAGAAAAAAATATGCACAATGACTCCAACAACATAAATGGAACAAAAATCCATAAAACAAAAGAAACTGAGTGTTGTAAAATTATAATGACCAGTCCTATAAAGGCCTCTCCCCATCTTCTTTGCTGAAATCTCCATACTATAAGCCTGAAGCTCTAGATAAAATGTCAGATTTTTAGTATATTGATTAATTGTGCTGAATTGGGTTTTTTTTCCCTTCTTTCTTCTTCTTTGTTATAAAGGATGGCTCTTGAGGCATCACGTAGGTGATGTAAAAACAAAAGATAGCCATAAAATTTATTTTACTAAAGAATTACAATTACTACTACTAGCTATCTATTCATGTGGTCGTGTCTAATGAGAGTGCTTTTGAAGGATTCAAAGCATTAAGAGTAAGAATTTGCTATTAATAGGTTTTCCATCATACTAAGAGTTGGGCATTCAAACAAAATTAAAGGACATAAAAATAAAGTACTTTTAAATAATTCCCAAAATAATGAAAATGAGATTGCAGTCATGAACAAATGAGTAAGCCCAGAGTGCTTTGTGAACTGGTTGTAGAGACTTAGGCATTGTCTGCTTTTTCATTTGTTAAATGTCTCAGTCTGCCACAGTGCCACCCAGGCTCAGTGAGAGTGAACCAACTCTCCACTTGGATGGCCTTTCAGTGAGTAAAATTACTCCCTGCATGTATCAGGCTGCTCAGCTGGTGGAGGCCATGTAATGAATGAGGAGGGATAGGCAATGAGGGCCCTCTCGCTAAAAATGTTACCTTTGATTCTCCCCTTGGAGCAGGGATGTGATTTGGAAACCCCAGGACCGAAAGTTGAAGCCTCTCCAACTTGTAAAATGATGAGCTCCAACTTCTGCCCCAATCTGTTCAAGCTGTTCTCCTGGCAGGTGATTTTTCTTTGTTTTTAATGGACAAACTCAAATAGGCTGCAGCCGAACAAACGGCCTGGAATGAAGAGGAAGGAGGGGAGGAGGGAAGTCTTTCTTGGCAGTCATACCCACTTGAAGAAGATTCACTGCCCAGGATGCCTTGCCCTGACATACAGCAGCTAATCAATTTGCAATCTAGGGAACACACTCAAAGCCAACAATCCTGTACAGGCACTGGTGAAGTTGGCACCTCAATCTGAAATTCAAAGCCTTAATCAAATGCATCCAACACGATATGTGTAAAGGGCGTTGCTGCCAATGGCTGCCAGAGGAGCCTGTGCTTTGCCTTGTTAATAGTATCATGGTGAGAATGGAACAGAAGGAGAAAGTGTCCATCTCTGCCAGCTGGAAATACAACCAAAGAGGGCGGAACCCTCTGGCCAGCTCATCTTTTCTTTGCATTAAGAGACCCAACATTTAACTTTTGGACAATTTGGACTTTGTGTTCCATGTCAACCTGCTCTTCAGTGCTGTACTTCCTTGATGACTTTTAGCTCAATTTGACCAAAAAAACCCCCAAATAAACAACATTTA